AGCTTTCAAAACAAAAAAGATACAAGCACGCAAAAAGAAGTCCGGATAATTATGCATCAACCCAATACAATATTAATCTCTCTGATCTATAGTTTGTGGATGATATGTGTGCTTTTCCTCATAATAAACAATGTTTGTGTTGTTTTATAGCTAGTGATTCAAATACATCCACAAAATAATCACTTAACAAGATGCTTATTGTTAAAGGAAATGAATTTATCTTTTGCATACCCAGGTAATGATTTCCGACACCGACTTGCTTGCTTGCTGTGGAGCCTACTGCGGAGACGGGTATGTGTTTAGAGTACATCATAAGTTTCCTCATCTAAAAAATAAATTAAGATGTGATGGAGGTTATACAGTTCGCGGTTGGAACTACTTCATAACTTCAGGCCTCTGCACAGGAGGAGATTATGGTGACAAGGTCGCAAACTTTGCCAGCTTTTTTACTCTCAGTCGCTCAACTACAATGGACTAGAGATTTTAGAAATGTTGCAAACCATATGCATTCTATCCATGCGGAAAGCATGAGAATCAAACTTACTATGGCGAATGTCCTGACAATAGCTGGCGAACACCAGTGTGTCGCAAAGCTTGTCAATTTAAATATCGGAAGGCTTACGCGATTGACAAAATATTCGGTATGATTTTTCTCATAAGAAATGAGTGTTTGTATGAATGACGGGGTAACCCACGGGCTTAAAGAACTGGTTTATCGTTCACCCGCTTGTTTACCGCAGGCTTTAAAGAAATTCTTCCAGCATAAAGCACAAATGTTCCCTTGATATGGTACCTAGTTTTTGTTTTCTCCCATGGTGCAGTCCCGATTTCAAGAAGTTTAAACAAGTTGCATTAAATGAGATTAGCAAAGAGGGAGAGGCATTTTGCAGTTGACAAAATGAATTATTTAGGCAACACTTCTTATATGATCCCTGAAAACGTAACCTCTATCCAAAGAGAGATAATGAAGAACGGGCCTGTTATCGCAGGTTTCTCAGTCTACACAGATTTTCTGTACTACACTGAGGGAGTATATACGGTATGGCTTACATTCGAGCAAATCTTTTAAGGATTATTCATATGCCTCAATCTCAACCATAAAATAGAAAATTTCAGTATACGTGGGGATTCCCACTTGGAGGACATGCTGTCAAGGTCATTGGATGGGGTGTAGACAAGGGCGTAGATTATTGGTTGGTTGCC